CACTTCTCACTCTCAATATCCTATAAATGAAATTGAATGATCCTCTACTGGGTCTTTCTGATGATTCCTCATGACCAGATTCAGCGACGTTCCCTTAGTAGGAAGAATACAGAAATGGTGCTGTGCCCTTAGTGCCTCCCACCAGGGATCACAGTTGCTATCCCTCCCACCCCAGTGATGTAACCATTAATGACCTGGTCTGGTTGGCATCTGCCATCCCTATGCAGCTTCAATTTACACTTTTTATTTTATATTGAATAGTATTTTGTGAAGAGATATTCTAAGGAAATGTCAGTAAGCTGTTCCTCATCACATTTCCACTAACCAGCTTTTTTGTGTAAATCCTGTCTGAACCATCTAACACTACGATGATTGCCTAATGGCAGCTCTAGATATCCTATAGGTGACATCTACTCTCAGAAGGAGTATTCCCTTCTCCTCCATTTATCTATTTTTAAATTTATCTTCGTATCAAACATACTCCTCATTTAGTATATTATCCAGTGGGCTCCATTTTGTTACAATCACTTATTTTCATGCTTATGTGCCACATTTGGCCAGTAGGAGACTTCTAAAGCTCATATTTTTACACAAGAAGTTCTAGGCTCAGCTTAGACAACTCCAGATGCCATGCTGATATTGGCAATTTCATCAAGGAATATGATTCCCTCTCATGGAACATGTTAGGCAGACACCAAGAGTGTTCATACTTTATACCTTATGTGTTTCAAAATCCAATCTCATAATCACACCACCAATGTTCCCTGCCTCTATCTCACATTCTCCTAATGCCTCCATGTCCTCAGATGCTAGCTGGCTGGCTAGCTGCCAACATGCCTCCATGTGACTACTTCCCCACTTCCTATTTGAATCCTTAGGTGCTGGCTAATACACCACTAACACACATCTTCTCTGTTCACCTTTTCCCTCACTGCACTGCCTTCTAGGGTGTTCTAACCCTACTACTAAGGTAACCCAGCAACCAAGGCCAACTTCTGTGGCCAAAAGCAGGTGGAAGGAAATCATAGGAAGAGAGAAAAGAAAGAGCAAGGGAAAGATACACATTTTCACTGGAAACAAAATTCTGGGCTGACCATTTTTTTCTTTCCTATTGTACCCTAAGATTGTACAACTCAAGGGGAAGAACCGGGATTTAAAAAATTGATGGGTCTGATTGCAGTTAGTAAATGTAGAAATTAGAACGAAATTAGAATACCACTCTTTGGCAACTACTACAGAAAAGGTAAAATTACGTAGTCACAAAAAGAAGAGACAATGAAGACTTACTTACATAAAGAAAATGGTAAGAAGACTCAATATTATGAAGGATGCCTATTCTTCCTAAACTGATCTATAAATTCAATGTAAAGTCCCCAGGAATTTTTCAAGAAAAGTTACAAGCTGATTTTAAAGTGTAAATGGGACACTTGTGAAGAACAACATAAAAAAACTTGTCTGATTAGATACTTTTTTTTTTTCTTTTTTTGAGACAGAGTTTCACTCTTTGTTGCCCAGGCTGGAGTGCAATGGTGTGATCTCGGCTCACTGCAACCTCCGCCTCCTGGGTTCAAGCAATTCTCCTACCTCAGCCTCCTGAGTAGCTGGGATTACAGGCATGCACTGCCACACCAGGCTAATTTTGTATTTTTAGTAGAGACGGGGTTTCTCCATGTTGGTCAGGCTGCTCTCAAACTTCCAACGTCATGTGATCCACCTATCTCGGCCTCCCAAAGATACTGACTTCTTATAAAACGGTAAGGCAATATAGTACTTGCATAAAAATAAACAGAGCAGAACAGATCAGAATAGAGGCCCAGGCATGGTGGCTCATGCCTGTAATCCCAACACTGTGGGAGGCCGAGGCTGGAGGATCACTTGGAGTTCCAGACTAGCCTGAGCAACATGGTGAGATCCTATCTCTACAAAAAATATCTTTTTAAAAAATTAGCCAGGGATAGTGGCACATGCCTGTAGTCCCAACAACTTGGGAGGCTGAGGTGAGAGGATTGCTTGAGCCTGGGAGGTCAAGGCGCAGTGAGCTATGATTGCGCCACTGCACTCCAGCCTGGGTGACAGAGTGAGACTCTGTCTCAAAAAAAAAAAAAAAAAAAGAATAGAGAACTCAAGAAAGTTGGTTAAGACAGGCTGGACTTTAAAGATCAGTGTATGTGGGTGGGTGGAAGGATGGATGGATGGATGGATGGACGGACGGACGGATGGATGGATGGATGGATGGATGGATGGATGGATGGACAGACAGAAAGACAGGTAGGGAGAGAGAGAAAGAGAGAGATAGAAAGTTGGTTTAAGACAGACTGGGCCTTAAAGATCATTAGGGAAAGGATTGATTCTCTAATAAAAAGTGCTGAGCTATTTAATTACTCATTATGAAAAAAATTATATCCGTACATCATAACATAAAGTCATACTGTAAGAAAAGGACAAAATGATATAACTTCATAAAACAATAGAGGGAAAATGTCCTTATGACTTTAGGAGAGCTAAAAACCTCTTAAAACACAAAAGGTATTACCATAAAAAATGAATAAATTCAATGACATTGAAATTAAGAACTTCCATTCAGCAAAAGACCCAATAGAATAAAAAACAAGATAAAACTGTATACAGCACATAAAATGACAAAAGATTAGTACAGGGAATATATAAGTCAATTTGACATCCAATACAGAAGTGTGCAAAGACACAAATAGGCATTATACCGAGAGAAAATATTAGTGGCTTGTAAATATACGAAAAGATGCTCAAGCTCATTAATAATCAGAGAAATGCAAATGAAGGCCACAAGGAAATAATACTCAAATCTCCTGTATTTGCAATACCTAAAACATAAGATAATACCAAGCACAGAAGAGGATGGGGAGCATTGGGGTGACTCATCTATTGATAGTAGAGACATAAACTAATATAAACACTTTGGAAATGCTTAGTGCTTCTCAAAAAAGCTGAACATGTATATACTCTATGATCCAGCAATTCCATTCTATGTCAATACTCTTGAACAGTGGTTCTCAAATTTTAGTGTGCATCAGAATCACCTGGAGGGTTCGCTAATTACAGATTGCTGGGCTCTTCCCCCAGAGTTTTGAATTCAGTAAGTCTGGGTAGGGGACTTGAGAATTTGCATTTCAAAGAAGTCCCAAGGGATGCTGACGCTGCTGTTCTGGGAACCACTCTTCAAGAACCATTGCTGTAGAAGAAACTGTTGCACTTACATATCAAGACATCTACAAGAATATTAATAATGTAGTGCTTTGATAGTAAAAAACGAAAAACTGGAAACCCAAATATCCTTTAACAATAGGATGAACAAATTATGGTATAATCATACAATGAGATATTATATAGCTGTGAAGACAAATGAGATCACGGAGAGGTACACAAGGGCTTCTAAGTTATCAGTGATGTTCTAGTTTTTAAGGCAGGTAGATATTTTATGGGTATTCTAGTTATTCTTGAAACCATATGTACAAATTTTGCATACTTACTTGTTTGTATGCACTGATTCTCTCTGGCTACCACTTACTGGCCATTTTTCTACTCTCTAGCCCTACACAGAACATGTCAACTCATCTCAGAACTTGAGTAAAACGGGAACAGTACTTGGGTCCCACATCTCTACTGCCTCAAATGCTTACACACACTACTATTCCCATCTTCCCTAGTTGCTTTCAGTCATTTCTCAAGATATTTTTATGCCCCACAAGCTCCTAATCACTCTTCTATGACTGTAGGCCTCAAAATGACACTCAAAACTAAATTAACACTCCATATGTGGTATAACAGACAGTACTTGTAATAAAAACTGTCTCTTGCTACCACAAGTTTTTTTGGTGCAGTTCACAGTGTTTTTACAAACTATATCAGACTGGTTACTCATACTGACTTTAGCTTATCTACTAAAATTCTTAGTAATTTTCATACATGATGTTGAAGCTATACCTGAGAAAGTTAGTCTTTTTGAACCAAAAGAATGGACTGAAAATTTTATCTTATTAGACTCAGCCTTTATGACTTCTCAGATAGATAGATAGATAGATAGATAGATAGATAGATAGATAGATAAACTTTTCTCATCAATGGGTTACTATCATCCATTCTCTGAGGAGGCCTCTGCATTCTTTATAAATTTAATGAGTCATCAATGATATTCAAGGTACTGATAAAGAACTGAACAGTACTGGACCAAGAACAAAGATCTGAGTCATTTCACTAGAAGTCTTCTAAATTCATCTGTATACATTTATGTATTATAGCCATTCAGTTATTTATTGTTGTTGTTTAAGACGGAGTCTTGCTCTGTCGCCCAGGCTGGGGTGCAGTGGCGTGATCTTGGCTCACTGCAACCTCCACCTCCCAGGTTCAAGCAATTCTCTGCCCCAGCCTCCCCAGTAGCTACGATTACAGATGCCTGCCACCACGCCAGCTAATTTTTGTATTTTTAGTAGAGACAGAGTTTCACCATCTTGGCCAGGCTGGTCTTGAACTCCTGACCTCGTGATCCACCCACCTCAGACTCCCAAAGTGCTGGGATTACAGGCGTGAGCCACCATACCCGGCTAATTCAATTGGTTATTAATCCTCACATTTCTCCATTTTACCACAAGGATATTACAATAAATTGTTATAAAACAAGTCACTAGACTCTAAAGAAACTGAATATCCATCTAACTCTCTCTGATCCTTCAGCCTAGTAACACTATTAGAACAGTATTGTTCTGTCATCTTGGACCACAGTGAAGACCACCCCTAGGGAATGACAGAATGGGAAAATGGAAGAAAGCTGGTCTCTAGCAACTTTGTGGAGTTGCCATTCCTGCCCTGGGCTGTCTGTTGTCGGAATTCTTTTAACTGGGAGAGAAATAAACTACTTTGTATAAAGAAAAAAACGGAATTATTACTCCCATAAATTGAAGTGATCCTAAAACCAAGAATACAAGCCTAGGGAGAATAAAGCAGGCCAAACTACATGGTATTTTTTGTTCCAAACAAATTTATTCTGTTCCAGCCCCAAAGAAGAGGAAGGACCTAAATTTTAAAAATAACAATAAAAATTGCTAAAAACAAAGCCATTATAAAATTAAGCCCCTTCCTTTAGCAATAAATACTGAACTGATATATACATATGAGGCTTAGGAAGGAGGCAACAACAGGAACCTTGGGGACTGTGTCCCATGGCAAGATCCCAAGACTTCTACCAATTCCATGCTCTTTGCTTAAAACATAGAGAGCAGTGGAAGAGACAGCAGAGATATGCCAGAAGAGTATGTGGCCCTGGAGAGAGCTGGAACATGATGAGGACAGAGGAGAGAGAAGAGATACGAAGCGTAATACAGGCAGGGAAAAGGAAAGTTCATTTAAAACATTCCTCCCATTCCTGCTGAATCACTGGATGTGGCTGGACCAACTGCACAGAGCCTTGGCCCCTCTCCTCCAGTCCCTGTTGAGCACACAAGTCAAAGAAGGTCATTCACACTGTGGTCGCGATGCCACTGTAGCAACAGCCTGGCTGCTGGATCCCTGAGGCTTCCCATTCACCACCAGCAGGAGGGGCGTCTCCACTCGAACACTGGAAAAGGAATAGTCCTAGAAAAGACAGACAAAGGTTCATTACAGATTCCAAGATGGAAAAAGCTCTAGCATGGGGATACACCACTTGCAACTTTCTGCACCACCTCCCCCACTGCATACTCCCTCTACTTTCATCTCACATCAGACAAAACTGAGCTAACAAAGGGGACGAAATTTTCCCAAAGTTTTCAGTCTTCAGAAGGAAAACATGGAGCATGTAAGGTCATGCAGTGCCACTACAAGAATAAGACAGCTCTCTGATTCAAAAAAGGCAAGTTCCTGGCATTGCCTAACAAAAGAATGCAACCAGCTCGCACAGAATCTGCCTTTTCCCACGGTGTTTCCTGATAATTAACTAGATACACACAGCAGCCAGCCAGAGCCAGTGGGAATCCTGAGAAAATCTCAGTCCAAATTGTTTATAAGGTCCTAATTTAATCCACCAAATACAAATTAAAGTTACTTCTCTTTTTTATATCAAGAGGAGGAAATAGAATATGTAACAGAATGTAGCCGTTTTCCTAATAACAAAAAGGATATCAGCTCACTTTATCAGTTCAAGTGTATTTTAAGTTGTAAAACATGTTAAATAATCTTCATCCAATATGGCAATGAGAGGTAGGCTCTTTTAAGTCCAAGTAAATTTAAAAGTTCTCATAAACCAATTTTTTTTAAGTCTTCACAGAAATATCGACAAGTGACACAAAAAAAGGGCAATTTAAACAAGAAATACAAATTAAAATATTCACACTATATTTTTCATGTAAAATTAGAAAACAACTTTTCAAAGGTTTCCAACCAGAGTTGAGAAAAAAACTAGAGAAACACTTATTTACATCCCTGTTGGTAGTGACAACTAACTAGTACAATTTTCCAAAGAAATATTTGGCAATATGTATCAAAAGCATCTGAATTCTGCATACCCTTTGGACCCAGGACTCTGCATTAGAAATTCATTTAAGGAAATAATCACAGATACAAGCAAAGATATAAAAATCCTCACTGTGTTTCTAATTTTTTTTCTATTATAAAAGTACTAATCTAGATCTGAGGTCATCAAAGTCTTTCTGTAAAGGGCCAGATAGTAAATATTTTAGGCTTTGTAGGTCAAATGGTCTCTGTTACGGAACAAGTCACCTCTGACACCACAGTGCAAAAACAGTCACAGACAATAGTAAGCAAATGAGTGTGGCTGTGTTCCCATAAAGCTTTATTTGTGGACACTGAAATCTGAATTTCCTGTAATTTTCACACATCACAAAATATTATGCTTCTGTCAATTTTTTCTTTTTTTTTTTTTTT